GAAAAAAATAAAACTGCAATCGTTCTTTTAAGATAAAAGAAACAATTCACATTCACTTGAAGGATTTTTTTAAATCCCAGAAAGACCATACTATAGCAGCTAAATAATGATGCTATGAATTTACATGACTTAAAGATTATGTCATAAGAATATAAGAACGGTCTTTTTGCACTCACTTAATATTTTATCTAATGTTTAAATTGTTTTTGACAATTTTTCGTTTTTACCTTATGTGCATTAAATTCTTACACATTGAGAAGTATTTTCCAGAGCACAGGAGTGCAAGTGTATCTACTAAAAATAATTGTTTAATGATGAATTCTAAAGCTTCTATAAAAGAAAACCAAATTGAGTCAAGTATTTACAAACGAATTTATCGCAATATGACTTTGAATGTTTTAGTTCTAAAGAATAGATACATTTGTTTTCTGTGAAACTATTTTCTTTCATATAACGCGTATCATAGCTGCACTTGTGAAAACAAAAACAATATCCACTTGTGGACCGTACAACCCCTGCTATTCCCAAAGAAGAATAGGTGTTGTTACGATCTGATAAAGGTTTTCTGGAGCCAACTGGCACAGGTTCAGACCAAACGAACGAACGACCGTTTTTGACCAGTTGCGCGTACCTCCTCATCCCACGCTTTCTGACGTCAAGAACAATAACAGAATTACAACAAAGAAATCGTTCTCGTTTTTTTCTTTAATCTCATACCCAATTTGTTTATCTTCCTCTTCCTCAGCGTCTTCTAAACACGTTTCTTTTTCCTCATGTAGTCTTTCGACATTTCCTCCTACTCCTGTTTCTTAGCGTCTATCATTTTCTAAGTTTCTTTTTTCCTCTCCCCCCATTCTTTAAAACAGAATTTGTTACGCCTCCTTCGCTTCAAGATTTTCTACACTACATTTTGTTTTCATTTGTTCTTTTCAGATAGTTTCCTGTTTATACTTTATTTTATTCGTTTTTTATTCCAACTTCCGACGCTTTAAAATCTTCCTAATTATCAACAAGGTCTCTAGAATTATTTATCTTCAGTGAATATTTCTCAATGATTGACAGAATGCGACTCCAAATCTCCAACATATTTCTTAGTATTCTTGACCGATGGCATTCCCTCCTCAGACCCATAAGAGTTTCAATCTGCCAGCTGGTGTCATTAGAATTGGTAAAGCTGTTACAGTAATCACTGGAACAACTCAACTTTATTTTTCAAAGATCTCGGTATAGTGATGATATTTTTTATTCGCCCCCCCCCACATTCTTTTTCAGTTTTAATGGAAGTGTTACATACACAATTTGAGAGCTTTTCTCTTCGTTACCTGCAACAATTATGTTCAGATTGGATGATTCTTTCCAAAATCCCAAAGATATTTGACGAGAAAAGTTCTGATTGTGATTATAATGCTGCTGCAATCTAACTTATACATTAATACCGTAAAATCTATGTAAATTCTTGCACAAGGTGTGCATCACGTTTCAGACCCGCTTTAAAAGACCAAAGGAGTAACAAAACTAAAGCCAGCAAGCTTGTATCTTATTTTTATCTCTATGTGCAAAAGTTTGGTTTGGTTTGTTTTACGGCATACCAACTTTAATAGAGAATTTAATACCGACAAGATTTTTATTGCTGGTAATTTATTTATTTATTTATTTTTGTTAATTACCCACTGAAAGTTCTCCACTGATTTAACCAGGTATTGAACTCACACTCTTTGGGTCCTGTCACTGGAGTGAGAGTTCAATGCTTGGTTAGGGCAGTGGAGAACTTTCAGAGGGGAATTAACAGGAGATAACTGACATCCATTAGAAATGGCACGTGGAACTAGAACAATCTACCCCAGTGAGCGAAATAAAGGGTTCAGTTCGACATTCCAACTACCTGAAGAAGGCCGGAGATGTACAACGGCCGAAACGTTGAGATAAATATGGCAACAAAGATGAGGACAATAGTCCGAATAATGTAAATAGTGTGCATAATACCTCATCTCAGAAATATAGACAGATGAATCAACCGTTAACATTTCAGATCTTTCACTTCTCGGGGAAGTTCTTTGGAATCGACTTCGTCTTATTATATAAGCTTCTTGAGCAGACAAATACACAAGAAAAAAAAACTCAGTTTGCCACGCCAGCAGTATCCGGTAATTCTTGCTATCGAATAACATCTTGCTATTGTGATACTAAACAGCAGCAGGTCGCCTCAGTACTTCAATATTGAGTTGAGGTCAGCGTTCTTGCAGAGATCAATAAATTTTATTTACTAAGCATAGTTTGGCACAAAGCTACAAATATTGAGCAATCAGTTACTCAGTATTAATAGCCAAACAAGTTCCTTCGCAAATATCCAGTAATTTTTTTGCAAGAGATTACGAGACCGATTCAGATTCTCTAGTAATTATTGGTACGATGGTCACCATTATATACAAGGTTCTCTTTGTAGTTCCGACAAGGTGACTTCGTGCAAGAGCAATCATCAATGGATTCAGCTTAGTCGACCCGATTTCACTCAAAACGCTTGGGTCAACACGGGGCATGATTTTCAGGCACTTAACAACGGTGCCACACGCTGGGACCGACTAATTGACTATGGTGAATTTTAAACACAAATCTCATGGTAGCAACGTCAACGCCCTCACTACTCGACCCCGAGTTTGCACGAAATTATGTCAGCATTTGTATTTCGTCCCGACTGGTAAGTTCCAAATACAAGCGCCGGCATGGTTAAAGAATCTCATTTCTCGCCAACTTATGTACAGCTCGTTTATTTTTATGTTTTCTTCAAAAACATTTTCTCCATGGCATGATTATTTTTATCTACCTTTATCAAACTTATAAAAATTCTTAATAGAATATTTATTTCAACCGGCACGCTTACAAGTTGGGAAAAATCCCACCTGACGGCACTTTTATTTAGTAAAAAAAAAACGGTATATATTTACTTATATACACAATGTCGGCTCTTGCTCCATACAGACAACTCAAATGAAATTTAAAAGAGAAAAAAAAATTCTGTCTTTGCGAGGGCATTACTACAGAAGCACATCTCTGGATAAAATTATTACCTGAATCTAATTATATTCATTACAGGCAAATTAATATCCTCATCTTTATTGCAGCGAAGTTTCGGCCATTGTGCCTTCCAGGTTTCTTCAGATGTCTGTTGATCCGAGTAACATTTCGAACTTATATTAATAAATATATTTAATGTCCTGATAATGCATAATTCCATTTTTAACTGAAAATTTTCATTGTGATAAATACTGGAGTTGGAATGAAGGATATTTATTTAATAAAAAAAATCTTTCAGCAATCTTTTTTTCATCAACCAACGTACTTATTGATTTTTCCGCAAGGAAAAAAAAAAGAAGAGTTCTCCGTGATATTAAACACTTGTTGAAAAATTGTAGGAGGAGTAATGGATAGCGGCTCGGATTGAGGAATCGGGGAGCCGAGTTCGAATTCCAGTGGAATCCATTATATTCACTTACGTGCTAATACCCCCAGCTGTGGGTAAATAGCAAGAAAGGCTGGGTTCTATAGCCTTGGATGGCAACTGGTCTATCGCAGAAAGAAATTACAACTTACTGCAGGAAAAAAAATCTACCTAGTCAGTCATGTATCGATAGATACATGATCGCCTAAGCGTGTATAACTGACTGGCAAATTGTAAAATACATAAAAAAATTGCACATCCATAATTGTTCCGTCAATAAGTTGCGCTTATAAAGCGAATAAAATTGATTTGAGTTTTGAAAGATGAAAAAGACACAGAATTTATGCATTCCGGCTTCAATGAATGAAGCTTTTGACAATGTATTTATTTAGAAGAATAATATTCACGTTGTTCAATACGACGAAATAAATCTTGAGAAATAAAAAAAAAAAAACGGCGTGTTAATCTATCACGATCAGGTTCTCTTGTCGCAGAATAATGACAACAAAATCAATTGAGGATAGTCTAACAACGGAAACAGGACTTCCTAACAAAGTATACTCAAGGAGTTGTGTGTGTGTAGAGTCTATCAATAAATGTTGCCCATATATATATATATATATATATATATGACACAATATGGTCTTGACGTCATTAGAACACACATCCTGTCAAAAGGATCCAAAATGACTCAGAGTCTGGAGTGTGTAGCGTTTTATAACTAGCAGTAAATAAACGCCACTTGGTCAGAAATTAGAAGTTCCGTTCACAGGCTTATATTAGAGTCAGTTAGGACAGGATATCGGACCGACCGAGAATTTCAAACCCACGCGTTAGATAAGTTGCTAGTCGCGCGTCTTAATGTAGAGATGGGCAGACGAGTTGATGAGAGAGAGAGAGAGAGTGTGAGTTCTCGTTGGCCGAAGAGAGGAACTGATCCATTAGTCTATTGGACCCCGTGTCACCTAACTAGAACGCCACACGGAACATGGAAGTAAAACCCTGAACAAACAACCAACAATATGGAAACTATGATTCACCGTTTTCATCACTCGCCGTGACGTTAATTTCACCTTGTGAAGGTAAAACGGGTTTTTTTTTTTCAGGTTTTGCACACGAACGAGAATCTGGATGGAGTTCGGCTTGTCAGATTGATGAAATGACCCTGATGATGTGTGTGTGCATACAGATGAAAGGGAAATAAGTATTTCTCTTTCGCAGTAATTAGACATTAATTTTCAACCATAGCAATCAGATCAGTTGATATGAAGAATTCTCGATGGATTAGCTTTTACGGCTTATCAACCCTTTGCAGGTTATTTAAAACAAGAAAATAGTTTTAGATTGTAAGAATTTTCTTTCTGGGAAAGGGGAAATAATGATTTGGTTATACAAGTCTTACTAATTAACTCAGCCGGGGTGGAGAAGAGGTGGATTCATACCTTCCCCAAGGGTATTTATGCATAATTGACTATAACGAATCCAAATGGGGTAGGAATTCGGCACTCCGATAAACAAATCCGAGCCATTATCCATTATTAGCACAACCTCACATCCCGTCTATAACCCCTGATGTTCCCAAACAGTCACCCATCTAGGTACTGACTAGGCTCGACGCTGCACAGCTTCGGTGATCGTACGGTAACCGGTGTTTTAACATGATATAGCCGTAAGCCCATATGAATAAGCACATTTTTTTTTCTCAGTTATATCTTTCTTTAGAAACAAAGAGGTTGAAAAGGTAAAAAAAAAAAAATATATTTCTTGGCGTAGCAAATTTACATTATGCACGTGTTTTCTTTAAAAAGACTCACGTGCGTGGTCCTGCTCTGGCGTGCCGAACAGACAGGGCTGACCAGTTGATTTCCACCCCACCCCGCCTCAAAACCAACCTACCGTTATTACTGACCCCCCCTCCCCCAACCTTTTATATCACCCACTATCTACTGCAAGGAAAGTTGGGTCACTGTGTAGTGCCAGAAAATATTGCTTGTCAGTGTCCATCTTGCACATTTACAAATGTACCATTCGTCCGTGCAGTGAACAATGCTGCTGTTACTATCGCGGTTCTTGACAAAATCCAAAGAAGGATCTGCAATGTAATCGATCCTGACCAGGCAGCTTGACTTCAGTTACTTTCTTATCGAAATGGCGTGGCTTCCCTCTGTCTTTTCTACAAATATTTTCATGGCAACTGCTCTGACGAGCTTTCTCCCACCCCTCGTGCCCTTGAATTTAAGCGTACTACTGGGTCGTCATCTTGGTCCGACCCGTTTACTGGGGAAATAGCTAAATGCAACCGCCACTTCCACTCCAATACTTCCTTTTCTTTAACTTCCCGCCTGCGGAACTCCTTCCATTTATTTTTTCCCCTGATAACTACAATCTTCAGTCATCCTCTATCTTCTTGAATCCGTTCATCTTTTGTCCTTTCCTCAATTCCCCCGCTATACTCAGTCTTTTCTCTTACTCCCTGTAACCCCAAGCGTACTAGTGGCATTCCTGTTTTGCTTAGTGATTTTATATATATATATATATATATATATATATTTTAAAACAAAATTTATTGATTTTAAAGTCTCTAAATTAATTTCGACATCATCAACAGAGACAATATAATTAATTAACGTAAACGTAAAAAATAAAATATTTAAACGTTATTTTCCCTCGTTAATGTATATACACTTGTTTGTTATTTTAGCGTGTTCCCCTTTTTTTTTGCTTTTATTTTCGTTACTGTTCTTTTCGTTAATTAATTATCCAACGATTGTCTCCTGATGAGATGTTGGTTGAAAGGGTCTTAGAGACTATTAAAATCAATAAATTCCTAGTTTTTAAAACTGTATATAAATTTTGTACCTCCACACACACATTATATATATATATATATATATATATATATATGAAATTTTCCAAATAGTCTAACTCTCGTTCGTTCGGAAAACAAACTAATTTCCCACTCTACCCTTCTGTTCCAAAGTGGTCTTTGACTGGCCAATATTCAATGAAGGAAAGGCTTACGTACCTGCGTTGAAAGTTATTCTTAGCTTCATTATTTGGTCGTGTCATTGTAAGCTAACTTTAGTTATGTCGGTATTACTTAAATTCACTGGTTCTCTCATAATAAAAAGGGAAAACACATTTGAGGAATATGTATTAGCATTCCTTAAATATTCCTTTATGGACAGCATTTATTTCAAAATCGAGAAATGTTGAATTCATTTTGTTTTAGGATTGGGCGGGAGCTTGTCATAATATAAAAATCAGTGTAAAATTGATCCCTGACTTAAAGAGTTGTTTGTACTAATTTCTTATTTACAATGTCCAGTTTGTTTACGTCATTGATAAATGCATAATATTAAGAATTTGAGACTGAAAGGAAAACATCAATAGCACATTTTTTTTTAAATCAATGACATGGACAGTTTCAAACTTGACATTTGTAAATAAGTATTAATAGCTCTAGATAATTCTCCAAAAAGTTACGGTCGATTTGACACTGTATTTATGTGATGAACACAAAACTGGTTTAAAAATAAAATTTATTGATTCTGATAATTTTCGTGTCTTGAAGGTTTAATCAATTTTAATCTACAATATTTACTCACCACCAAAAATTTTCCCTATTTTTTTTTTTTTATAATTATAAAGTCGGACTCCCAATGAGGCTTCGAATACCAGTTTGTTCAGAACGTATTATGCTGAATTAGTACCATTCCTGTGGTTTTCCATGATCGGGAATGTGTATTGACAATTACAATCATGGAAAATATACAGGGTGTCCAATTTAAAACAAAAAAAAAAATAAATAAATTCAGAAACACGTGATGCAACCGTTGAAAACTGGTTACGACTGACGTGACTGAAAGATTCAGAAAGAATTTCTGCATATTTTGTCAATCGCCACTTCTGGCGTGCTTTGAAAAGTACGATAACTTGAAGCCCCTTGAATCAGTGAGTTGCTTAGCCATACGAGAAGGGCAGAACGAAAGATGAATGAATATTCAAGGTTAATTATTCTTAAAAGATAAAACGGTAACAAAGTTGTGTTTTTTTGTTTTGTTTTTTTTTTTACTGGGCACTCTGGAAAATACTTGATAAAAAAAAAAAATACACGTTTAAAGTTATCAATTGATTAAAAATCTACTGATGTGTAAATTTTAATTACCGACTTTATTTGTTTTTATAATTCAAAACATTTTAGCTCAGAATAATGTCACACGGTAATATTCTGTGTAATTCCCCCCCCCAAACTTCATCAATACTTTCAGGCTATGAAGTTGGCGAATATAATTACATTTATGTTTGGGGTGGAAACAGGCACACACATGTGTAAATATTTTCCGCGTCCTTGTCGGTAATTGATTATTTTCTATCCTACAACCCCCCACACCCAAGACAAAAAGTTGCAAGTCTCTCTGTAGCGAACCAGCCCTTGGTGAGATGTTCGTTCCACTCTGACAGCTTCATCGCTCACAAGGGTAACGTGTTCAATTCGGTTAACAGTTATCTACCCTCAAAAAGGGGCTTTGTACAAGCTTAAATATATTGTTACAAATATAAATATATATATATATATATATATATATATAATACACACACAGTCAGTCAAATGAATACTAGCCCAGAAGTTAAGAGAAACTTGTACAAAAAAAATCGACAAACAAAATTTAAGGAAATTAAGCGTGTTCCCGCGCATATAATACTAGACAGTTTCAGACTGCCTGTTCGCTATTGTTTTTCTGATATTATTCGACCCGAAAGGGCACGTGCCACAAATCATGGTAAAACATATGAAAAAAGCGAACAGTGTTCGGTATATGCTGTCTCTAGGCTAAACTTCCCTTAGCTTAAAAATTGAATTGAAGCCGATAGAGAAAAATATAACTATTTAAAATATATAGACGTTTCTTTTGAAAATATCCCCGAATGAGATCGAAAACAATCTTATTCTTCTAGCAAAATGTTTTCCGGTTTAAGAACTGCTTTTCAGTATTTATGTTGATTACAGGATATCGATTTCTTAGGCTACAGGAAGTACGGCAAGAGGGGCCATATTTTGAACACAAAATGTACAGCTACAATTAAAAGTCCGAGTCTCAAAGTACATCTTAATGGCCAAAAAGAAACGGTGAGATGTTAAAACGTTCTGCTAACAAAAAAAAAACAAAAAAAAAACATTTTTAATTCCTATTCAGATTCTAAGATTCTGTCAATGTGGAACGATAGCGCTATTAAAAATATTTAGAAATAATTACAATATGACATTGAGTTCTGTATTACCTTTAAGGTATTAACCGAATATATTATTTCATTATGAATGGCCAAAAAAGTTAATTGTCGTTACGCTTTTCACTGGGAAATAAAGATTCGATTTTATACGTTATTGAGCTTCAGCCATTAATAGTCGGAGGACACTAATGAAGTAAAAGCTTATATTTCCTTGAAGATCTATCTTCCAATCAGGATTTCTATATTGTTGTAATGTAGTCGTACAACCTGCAGAAAGAGGTAAAAGCCAACAAGATGGAGTAAGTTTGCTACTAACACCGTACATTTCTATATCCTATATTAAACCTACCTTATACAGTCTGTAACCGGATATGGAGGCAAATAAACACTTCTACAGACTTATCAGGTCAGATCTTAACACTAGACAAGAAAAAAAAAAAGATATTTTTTTTTGTTTTTTTTTTTATTATACCCGTCACACGAGCCTTTGTCTTTGTTTTACGTACTTGGAATGCACGGGGATTAAACGGGTGTAGTAGTAAAATAATCTCAGGAGAAAAAAAGAGAAGTTGCTGTTTGAAATCAAACGGGAGATTTAAGCTTCCATTCAAAGTGGAAGACTCTTTATAATTGTTACAGGGACCTGAAAAAGAATATACATCCAAATATTAAAAGAAAAAAAATACCTACTTGAAGAGTTACGTCTGCCATTTAGTAAATATCCTTCACAGTTTTTTTTGTTTTTTTGGTTTTGCAACTGTATCCGAATTCTACTCACTTTCTAGTTATTGATTTTTCCAAGCGTAGCTTAGATGTGGTACAAGGCCGAAAGTATAGGGCACTCAGTGACGATCGAACTCACTCGTAATTATTCTAGCGAGACAAGCTTGCTCACCATTGCACCGCCTGTGTGTCCCACTTTCCAGTTATTGTCGTCATGCGCACAACTCTCAGTTTAATAAGTACCCATAATTCCTTGTTAGTGTGGGGGAGGGGGCTATATGCGAGAGCATTGTTCTGTTTCATTTGTACAATACCGTAGATATTGCTTAAACTATGAACAATATTAGCGTTCAATAATATATATGGAACAATTTATTTTTTTACTTTTATGGGTAGTTTTACCAGACTTATTAATACAGAAATACAGGACACGTTAAATTTAAATGGTTTCTAGTAATATTTTGATTATATATTTCATCTATTTGGAATTGTTATTTGACTTTGTTTTATGTATATTTATACAAATTAAAAATCGTTTGAATTTCAATTTGAAAATGTCTTCCTGTATTTCTCTTTGGCAAATCTGCCCAGTTCCGTTGCGCAAGACGGCGCTTTGACGTTGGGATGGGGTGTTGGTAATAATCTACTACTGTACTGTACTGATGCGGCATTCACCCTGGGCGGATTGAGCCGGCTTCTTCCTGTTATGAGAAGAAGATTCTTGGGATAAATTACAGAAGTAGGGTACCAGGCCTACTCGGATAACGTTCTTTGCTTGCCGATTCCCACAGACGCAGAGACAGGAACGACCAGAAGCCGCCGGTTACCGATGCAGACGCTCCTTGATTTTCACCAGAGCCCTTATTAGCCGACGTGTGTGTCAGACCTGTCCGCCTTGGGTGGCCCTACCAGGAAGGAAGTTCCGGGCAGCATAGCTCTGGCACTACCGTGCAAGCTCATTACACCTAACAATGTAATGTTCGAGCTTTACTTCATTTACATCTACCATAGCTTCGTGAAGACAAAGGGGATGGTGCCAGGATTAACAGCACTGAAAACGGAATTGATGAACGCTTATATCCTCTTCTCATGAATTCCTGTAGGAAAGGCATGGATCCATTCACCTTAGGCTCTATCGTCAGATCTCTTGATCGAATGTCCTTGACAAAAAAAATGTTTGACAGAGTCGCTCAGTGATGAATGAGTCATGACTTGACGGTTCCGCCTTTTTCTTATAGATGACCTTTAGATTATTTCTCATCCCCGACTGTAACCCGAAATATACTCGTATAGATAACTCTCGCTTTACGAATGTTCACCACACGCTACTTCGCTTTTACGAAGAATTTACAATTATACAGTGACCTCCCCTCCTCTTTTTCTGAAGTGGCGTAACGTTTATAATCAATTAACCATTAATTTACATAGGAATTTTTTAAAGTTCTCAGACACGTGAATTAGCTCGATGTAGCCGTAAGTTCTATCCTAATAGTTTGTTTTCTCGCACTTCTTGTCTGTTAAACTCTCTTCCGGTTTCTTGCTTCGCTGTCAAAACAAAAAAAATTAAATGCAACATCAATCACAATCTTCTGCCTTTCTGTTCTTTTGTTGTCCTTTCTCTCTCACTCCCAGTAACTCCTTGCGTCGTAGTGGCATTATCGCCTTGCTTGACGTGAAATGATCAAGAAATATATCTGCTTCACTGTCCAATGTCGATGCTGAGTGTCTGCTGTGGTTGATGTGTCAGGCTTGAAATATGACAGGATGCTTGACTGATGAGCCTCGTGAGTTTTCCTATCCTGTAGTTCTTTGTAAAGTTCTACGCTTGTTTTCAGTCATTGCCACATTGTCGCTCGCAATGAAAAATATCATACAAGATTAATTTGCGGTTATGAGTACGCTCAAAAGTTTTACTAAATAAATTAATGATAATAATTGCTACTTTGTTTACGCCAGTTCGGCTTACGAAATATTTAGAAACGCTCTACTTTCGGATGGCGTAGAAAACTAATATTTAACATCGCCTTACAATGATTCATTGTAGAATAGAGGAAAAAATATGCATTTTTTTGCGTGGATATCATTAAACACAACCAGTGGACAATGATAGTTTTATAACGTTACATTGATTCAAAGGTTTTCACAAAACCTTTTATTCATATAAATTTATAGCATTATTATTAGAAAAAATAATTATCCTGACCTTTCAGTTGAACCATGTATTCCATCATAAAAGAACGATTACTCGTGATATGTTTTTCCATACTAAAATAATTATTGTAAATTAAAGGGTGTTTCATGGAGCAAAACAAGTGATAGTCTAAAAATAACAAGTCTACATAATACTCTAGATGTATAAAAATTACCTAACCTAGCTCCATGTTTCAGAAGGGAAGGTGGCTCCTGTATTGATGATCTATATTCGAAGTTCCAACTTTGATACACAGGCCTGATCACTGATCTCCGCCTCCGAGAGGAAATATCCAACAACCTCAACTAACAAGTAGACTTCGTTTCGTTTGACATTTTACTTCGAGTTTGTTCTGACGCAACAAGAGAGCGCAGTCAAAGAAATAAGTCTCTTTTATTTTTATTTATTTTTTTTTTTTTTACGTTCGTTGTTTTGATTCATATTTCCTTCATGGCTTTGCTTAATAAAATTTACTATCAATGGTTAATTTGATTTTGGAGGCTATTTAACCCTTGTTAATTCCAACTATTTATACACACACGTGCCTTCATCTGATATTAAAAAGTCCGATATTAAATTCCACTACGTTGAAAACTGTCTAGATTTTTAGTAAATACTAGCAGCATGGCCCGGCGTTGCCCGTGCTTGATTTAAAAAATCTTACGACTCATAGAGCAATCGCTATTACTTAAATATTAAAATATTTTTGCCATTCCTTGCCTTTAAAGGGGTGCCCTTTGTCGTGCTGATGTTGCTACATGCCTTACTTCTTGCCTATTTCACACTGCGAATTTTTTCTAAGCTCTATACTAAACATTAAATCTGTTACGAAAAAAGAACTAAACAAAATGAACACAAAACGATCAGCTTTAAAAAAGAACTCGTAACTGGAAAAACCGAATGATAAAACAATGTTAAAAACAAATACTTTTTCACACCCAATCCAGTTTCCTGAAATATTGAGACTGGTCATACTACTTGGGAGTGCCCTTGTTTTGTTAACCCGGTACTTTGGAAACCATACATTGATCCGATTTTAAGTTCAAATAAAAAGAGCTCAAAAGTGTTTAACAACGCGAAGTCCACTGCACAGAGTCCAAAATGAGGTGAAAAGCTTAGATGTACTGGGCCGCGTAGTGCAGGCGAGACATTCAACTTAAAACCCCAAAATCCGTATCACCTGTGAGTTAAACGTTTTTTGTTTTTTTTACAAAGCTTGAGTCGTAAATAAAAAAATCGGGCTCCGGCATGACACAATGACGTAAATTGAAAGATCGGATCTGGGATGCGGCCTGGGAGAAAGAACAATGTCTAAAGAAGTGGGAAATGAACCTTTTGTAATCACATCCATTAGCTTTCCTAACTTTAGATGGTAAACGCGCCCAATGAGGTTTGGACATAACTTGGCATAACTTCTTTAGCAATTGCGTACCATTTTGGGTTACACGTGAAAGTTATGAATAGGTCTGGTCGGCTGTACTTACGAACGTATGTCATCGCGTCTTGCGTCCTCGCGTGCATGTATCGTGGACTGCCTGTGAACATTGCAGGTAGTATGCACATCTTGCCTATATTGCGTAGGTAAGCGTCATTTCGTAGAGTATCACGGAGGTGAATGTACGAGTCGCAGCGCAACTTGGTCTGATTCAATCTGATGTAACAGAGTCTTTCGGATTTCATCTTAGCAGCCATGTCTACTATGAATTGATGGAAAAGTTGCCGGCTTCGATGAAGATGATTGAATGTACCATCAATAGGTAGGCGTAGAAATCCCTGCAAGGCACAGTTTTTAAGGTGGACCCATTTTGCAGAATGCCAAAGTGGTACCCATCTTCTCCGTAAGGGAAGAGAAGTGAGTATTGCAGTGGATCGTAGGACCTTTGCTTTTCACTGATTCTTCGGAGCCCACTGCTGCGCGATTCGATAACAATGCCATGTCTGTTGTGCTGAATATCGCTGACAATGACGGAAACTTCGTTACTTGCGGGAGCATTGTAACGACGTTCGTGCTCTCCCTGAGGCAGTTTGTCAGCATCAATTACAATAATGAAATAAGAAGAAGTGTTATTTTCGAGAGCATACTTAAATTTGCGGACATAGTTGTTTGTCTAGTGGAGCATTTGTTGGAGACTCATTATGACATCCCTGCGATGATGATTGTCCTGGCCTGTATGGTTCTCGGGAATAATGAAAATGCGGGCATCTGCCTGTTGATTGTAGTCAGCGATGAAGTATATTTGTAGAAAGGTCGAATCAGTGGCAGTTTCCGGCAAAAGACACCCAATCCGGTGGTAAACCTGACCTTGAACCTTGAAGGTGGAATTCCAACCGACTTCGCGGAAGGCATTACCACCAAAAGAAGTCATCCGGAAGGCACAATTATACTGTCTGATTTTTGCGAGGAAATGTTTGGAGTCTGGACTGGAACCCTCCAACAGGGCTTTCAACCGGGCAGTTAGTTCTTGAAAAGGTTGCAACCGTACCTTACCGTCTGAACAACACAAACCTGCCGAGTCTCCAGGCCATTCTTTTGGCATTGCAATGTCCACAGACAACTGACATGGATCCTATTTGGAGGTCTTTGCGACCGAAAAGCCTCAAAACTGTCTCATAGTTGAACGCCATCTTAAACCAAAACTGAATGTTGGGCTACAGAGCCCTCGATGGGCATGGCGGCGCTGGTTAACAGTCTGCAACCTTTCAAGCCTTTCAGTAGGTCCTTCTACAGTTCTAGCAGCTGAAGTTGAAGTTGCATCGTGTTGCCGCCTTTTGCGCTTTTGCGTGGAAATTTCCGACGCCCTTGCAGCAGAAGTTGCAGCGGCGTCGGCTCAATGGCGTGCGGTTTTCTCAGCCATGGATTCCTGGGACCGTGGAATGGACGTTGCCGCAGCCTTCGCTGTGTTACATGCGGTTTTCTCAGCCGTGGTCTCCTGGGACCGTCGAATGGAAGTTGCAGCCGCGTCGGCTGCATTGCGTGTAGCTTTTCGATGCGGGCTCTGTCGAGACCGCAGACGCGCTTGTAATGAAGCCGCTTTTTTGTTGTCTTGCAAGCGTTTAGGTAGTTTCCACTTACTTTTCAACGAATATGTGTAAACTGATTTGCAGTACAAACGGTAGTTACGCTTACCAAGCGTTTCATGTGACAAAACATACTGCCTCCGTTGAGATTGACTGGAAAGCCTCAAAGAGGCCTTTACATCTGTTTCCTCCTCCCGCTTTCTCTTTGCCGCAGAGGCTCTTTTAGAACGCCTGCTAAGGTTGCATCGCCATGGTATTTTGGTACGCTTAACAAAGCTGCCTGGTCGATCATCGCAACGGCACTCAGAAGAGCTCCCGTTTCCCTTTAGCAAGTGAGGCTTTTTTAGAACGCTTTCTAAGGTTGCATCGCCTGGGTGTTTTTGCAGCCTTTGCAGAGCTGCCGGGTTGGTCATCGCCACGACACGCAAAAGAGTGCAAAATAGACGCTATATTATCATCTGTAACCGGAGTTATTATGTGCGCCTCCCCTGTCGCCTTTTCTGCATGTGTAACGTTAACGGTATTAGGAGTCTTCAGTTGCTGACGTGCGGATGTTCGTCGTGTAGGAGCCATTTAATGGGTTGTAGAAATGCTGTGTAAGAATGCGAATAGAAATTGATGTCGAAGTTGAAGTGGTGCAACCTTGTTGTATACAAAAACTAAAAATGAAGTGGAGTGGTATGGAAAAAGCTTCGTCTAGCTATGGGCCGTGCTTTCTGGCAGAACGAAAACGTCGCTGTAGGAAGAGGTTACGCAACCAAAACGTTGAAGCCTTGAAGGTTAAAAAGTAGTGAAATACTGAGGTGTACTGGGCCGCGTATTAAAGGCAGAAGAGAAGTAACTTGCGACAACAGTTAACTGTCTAATAGCAAAACTGAACTACGAAAAAGTAGAAATAGGTATGGAACGCTAAGTTGGACTGGGCTGCGCAGTAAAGGCAGAACGCGGAGATAAAATGGGTAATGCAAACTTTTAAGCAAATAGGTAACTTTCGGTAGCAGGAAGTTGTCAATGAACCCAAGGACAGATGCGTTAATGGCGATCAAATGAAGACGTGAGTGCGAATGCAGCCGCGCTAAAGGTATTTAAATGGAGCGTGACTTGTCATTGATTGGTGTAGCCTGGACAATGGCCATGACTTAGACCAATGAATGAGCTCACGCAAAATGGAAGATGCTAGCGCGCATTCACTCATGCGCGCATGATTTGGCCGGCGCAAGGCTTGGCCGTAAACGGGGTCAAGCTGCCTGCTGCATATGCAGCTTGGTTCTAACGCACGTGATCCCGGCGATGAGAATGCAAGGAGCCGCAATGAATCGTTTGCTCGTTTGGTTTGTGCGACAACGAAAAGCCGCTAACCGTTTGCCGGCATTAGCTTTGAAATGGATTTGGAAGAAGCCCAGCTGTTTTAGCGCAAAAACTCCTCGTCAGGTCTGGGTTGCGGCCTGGGCTAGGGGAAAAGGTTTAAAGAATTGGAAAATGGACTGCTGAGGGCGGAACCATATTAACTTAGCACGTATGAGGGGTTTTTTTTTTCAGTAAAGACGCGAATAAAGGAAGTGCTTATTTTGGTAAGATGCGACGATTAAAGCAAAAGTGTTGACAAAGTCGAATATGTCATTTGTGACTCAAAGTCAGACCTGGTAGCAGGGATAAAAAAAAAAGCCGAATTTTAATGGCCCTGCATCCATTCCAGAATTTGAGGTCAAATGTTTTCTTCCACTCCACTGCACGCATTGACCTGTTTCTTCCCGCGCATAGCGTGACCTTTAATTCATCTGCATTTAGGAAATACCTAACCGGAAAAACATTTTAAGGGTTGACCGATTGTCGATTTGTACTCTGTTTGGCGCTCAGAGTTGAAACTTCATATGCTGACTCCCAATTGCCTCCTCATAAATCCGGTCGGTTTTCGCTAAAAACCGACATGCGGCTCAGTCGCCATCTGGGCGTATCGGTTTTGGGGTTTTATCGATTTTCCGCGCTGTTTAGGGGTCCGTGGTCATGAAACTTCTGGACAACACTTCTAATGGTAGACTCTAATAGAGTGTCAAATTTCGTTCAAATGCGATCATTTCTTCTGTAAGCAGATTTTTTCGATTATCGATTTTTTCGGAACCTGAGTCCGAACTCAAAAATCGGTCTCCGTCATGTCCTTACGGCAGCCATTTTCAAACTTGTGGTGAAAACCGCATCGAAATCGGGTGAGAAATGCGGCCTGGGCGAGGTAACAACGCCCACGACAGACAACATGAGAAATATAGATAGTAGATTTACAGAGGTTAGTCTGACACAAGATCACTAAACGAACATCGAATTCGCTTCTCTTGCAATGGTCTGCTAGATTAGCTAACTCACAGTTACACTGCAACCAGCGTTCTTTAATATTGATTCGTATATATTATTAAAGTTAGTGACGTTTGTGTTTATATATATATATATATATGTGTGTGTGTGTGTGTGTGTGTGTGTGTGTGTGTGTGTACATGTGTAATTTTTTTTAATGGAATTTTTTATCCGACATACTTTTTTATTACTATAAATGTTATTTTTAGTGTTCCCACTAAAAAATAACGTCTACAGTAATAAGAAATAATGTCGGATAAAAAAATCCTTTCAAAAATTTGATTACGTTTCGAATAAGAAACTGAAGCTAGCAACTGTAGATTCGTAAAAGACCGGTTGAGAAACATGCTTTCTTTAAATAGGTCATTCAAACGTTGCTCTTGCAGGCTGACCCCTGTGGCTAAACTGGTACCGCCACACTTTGGCAAAAACATGGTTTCCTGATCAAAAAAGAGATGAAGGTTCGATTCCGGTCGGAAGCACAATTTTACTTAGTAGGTCTTCTCAATTTAAGGCACTTATTAATTTCAATTTTTAAGAAAATGAAAAACTAGGGATAGCAACACGTAATCACTAGAAATAATGTTTATAGTAATTATACATATATATATATATATATATATATATATATATATATATATATATATATATATATATATATATATATATATATATTAAATCCACGAAAAAAAAAGAGCATAGCTTGATGAAAAAGACGCCAACCTTGCCGAAAACAAAATTTTTACCTTCTAAATGCTTGTTATTATTAAGAGGAAAGATCAAAGTTTATTTTAATTATTACCCCCACACCCCATGATTAATTTATGAAAACGCTAGAAATTCGATCGCATCGGTTTTAGTGATTACACTAGTTAAAAGCACAAGGCTTTGAGGAATGCAAATCATGTTTTTTTTTTTGTTTTTAATTGGACCCCCCCACACACACACACACCTGAAAATCAGCTCTGAATTGTAACATACAAAACTCAATAAAACAAAGATATTATTTAATTTCAAATGCTTTTATTTGCTTTTAGTTGTTTTTATGAATATGGACAATATTTTCTGAAAGCAAGAGATTTTTTCGATGAAAAATGAATTTTTAATATAATTATTTGTTATTTCTTAATTATAATAGATTTTTACATTTAAGTTGTTAAAATATTATAAAATTAGTTAAAAGCCACATCGGGTTTCCTAAGTATCCTTGTGAAATAGATCTTTTTTTAGCGCGTTGTAAATTGTATCATCCACAGTAATTAAGAAATGTAATTTTGTGTTTATAATCGGCTGTAATTATAAAGTACGGAAGACCAACCAGAATACAATTAAGTTGCGTTATTTGAGTTAAGCATTGTTCTCCTGTTAAGGCCTTTACTTTTTACGAAAACACGTGTGGAAAAGTTAATTTGATTTTTCAATTTCAACTGAGAAGGGTACCTACAAGTATCAGTATCATCTTATGAAATTTATATGATCTTATTTTTATATTAATCTCATTTATGGCATTTTTTTCCATAAATGAAATATCAAAATTAATAATAAAATGAATGCAAATACAAATAACAGTAAAATCTAGTAAATGTACATAAAATTATAGTATTTTATGTACAGTTCTGATAAAATTTCAGAAGAAGGGTACCTATAAATTAGATACCTTTCTTATGAAATATGAAATTTAATCTCACTTTTAACAGTCTTATTTTAATTTCTTTATAATATATTTTCCATAAAGCATCGTAAACGTAAAGGTGAAAGCTAAGTACAAAAAAAAATTAGAGCGCTGAAAGTTTTCCTTAATAATAACGCGGTAAATAATTTGTTCACTTAAATGTAAATTATTTCACTTTTCTCCTTCCGTAGAACAAATTAGCCTCACGGAATCCGTCAATATGTCATTCATCACCTGTCAAGTGACGCGAAAGTTTATGACCTGCTTTGTTTTATTTTCAAATTACATCTTTTCGGCGCAGAAGCTAAGTTAAGCTTGGTTCAAAATATTTTAAATAAACATTATAATTTCTGATTTTCTTAAAATAAGTTTTGAAAACATGATAATTGATATTTAAATGAATTTCAAAGTGAGATTTCAAGGTTTTTATAAAATGGAAAAAAATGGTCAATTTTGCTGACTTAAAAAAAACAAGGAACGATTAAAAAATGTAAAAAAATACCTCAAAAATACTTTCATCTTTCCTCTTAATAATATCATAAACATTTAGACGATATTTGTTTTCGCCAAGTTTGGCATCTTTTTCATCATGCTATGCTCTTTTTTTATCGATCTCGTGGAGGTACCTAAATATATATATATATATATATATGTAAAAACTCGGATATAAATAAAATATATCAGTAAAGACAATATAAATAAAGGGCAAAAAGAAATCATTTTATTATCAACATGTTTCGTTCCATGAAGAACATTATGCACAACCAGTGCATTATTTATACACTTTTGTATACAAGTTACGAAATGTAACACACTTACCTTGCTAAAGTTTCTTAAGGGACAAAACGCGTTGGAAAATAAGTTTTCCTTTTGTCTTTTATCCAGATATGCATATCAAATTGGCTTAACAGATATTCTGAACTACAAAACATATTCAAATGAATGATTACTGTCTAATTATAGTGTTATATATGTATGTGTGTTTAAAATTTTCTCTATTTACAGGGGAACAGTGCAGTTGGTGATAGAAGCTTTGTAGATATAGTTAGCGTGCATTTAAAAAACACTGCATCTTGACTGTCAGTATCACGCCAGACAGACACCACACAGTGTTGATTCCTAGGTCTGGAGTCTCTTCCTCGGTACACACATACGCATATTATATATATACATATATATATATATATATATATATATATATATATATATATATGGTGTTGTAAAGCTGCACATAGTAGTTGTCGATGCTCAAGTTAATTAACACACATTGAATCTGGTCAACTTCCCTATTCTTTTAAAACACACAAATATATATGATAAATAACAAATAGGAAACGTTTCACTTTTATTAAAGTTTCATCAGAAAATGAGATATGGAGAACAAGAAACTCCTAT